CATCATCATATGATAAATAGCATTACTCATTTTTTAAAAGAATTTCGATCATAAATACGAGGAAATTATAATTTAATATTAAAAAATACGGTTAGTTTATAAGAACATCATGCGCTTTATCTTCAACATGGATATAATTAACACAATAAATTGACTAAATGACAAAAATAAGGAAAAAGTACCATGAAAGAAATTTGGGAGGGTGCAAACACATTATTCTAATTAGTAATATACCAAGAGCAATGAGTTCAATTAATGAAGAATAATTTACCAATGAAAAGCAATGATGGGATTCTACGACTTTCACGATAGATTGAGTGCACAAAATTCTATTATTATAGTCCCTGTTTGGTACGCATTAAAATTTTCATTTTCATTCTCATTTTTATATTCATTTTCAACCACACACTTTTCAATAAAATAATATTTTTCATCACATCAATAACTTTTCATTCTTTTTCAACTATAAATTTTTCATCAATCTACTATTCCAGAATACATTATTTCGAAATAATGTGGCTCAAACACACCATATGTTAGATACAACGGAAGAAAAAATTAATTACTATGGGATCAACCAAATAGACTATACATGCTCATCGCATAGAATCCTAACGAAATGAGTGAAACAAAATTAAGACATTATTTTGCTTGCTTTTAGTTGATTGTGACATATTAAGTTGAGTAAAAAATTATTCCAACACTGAGCCCCTGTTTGAGTCACATTAAAATTTTCATTCTCATTCTTCTACTCATTTTCAATCACACAATTTTCAATAAAATAATATTTTTCATCACATCAATAATTTTTACTTCTTTTTCAACTACACATTCTCCATCAATCTACTATTCCAAAATTCATTTTTTCAAAATAATGTGGCTCAAACACACCCTGAATATTGAACAAAATGTCTCATTTGAAATTGTGTTTCAATAAGTGACTTCTGAATGACGTGATTTTAATCAATCGGACACTAACGTAATTAAAAGATAATTACCCAAACGTAATTTTAACTTTAACAATGGTGCTTATACGACATATTTAATTATAATTTATTACTTTAAATTAGTTCGTTGAACATTGACATCTATAGAAGTCCAACGTTAGTATTACTAGTAGAACTAAATTGATGAATTGTGCACTAAAATTGTCATATTGAAGTTGAATGACTCAATTGAAATTTTAGTAGAAGTTGAATGGCCTAAATTTACCTAAATGTCGTTTAATGATTCATCCGTTGAACTTCAAACCACGTGCGGATAGAGTAAAAACACGCCTTATTAGCGCGTCGTTAAATATTATTGCGCACTCATGATAACGTATTGCTACAACGTCATAGTATACGTAAGATATATAATAAAGCTATGTGTACACTATTTTTTACACAATATTTTACACCCCTCTCACATGGAGGGGTTCATGTGAGAGGGGTGTAAAATATTG